CTTGTTAAAGTCATCGATGTCTTTAATGAATATGGTCGAGCATCCGGAGCGAGGCTTAATACAACGAAATCAAAGGGTCTTTGGCTCGGTAGGTGGCGATCTCGTACTGATTCACCCTGTGGTCTAACGTGGGTTAACACGAGCTTAAGAATTGTTGGTATTTACTTTGGTTCCGAAAATGCAAATATCCAGTCATGGGCAGAGGTTACGGCCAAATTCAAGGGAATATTGAAGAAATGGGAACCACGGTATCTAACGTTACGGGGGAAAATGACGGTGATCGGGAGTCTGGTGGCTTCGACGCTTTGGCATGTGGTAAAGATATACCCGCTAACGTGTGAATGTATTGACTCGCTACAATCAGAAATTTGGAAATTCGTTTGGTCAAAGAAACCGGAGTGGGTGCGTCGGGAAACGTGTATGTCAGACTATCTGAATGGGGGTCTGCGAATTATTAATCTTGACATCAAAAGCAAAGCATTGTTGATTGGTCGTGTTTTCCGATTTTTTGAGGAGAGTGAGGCACCTTGGAAAGATTTCATGCGTTATTACATCGGACGGTCTTTAGGCATAAACGATAACTCGAGACCAAATAGCGACATTCCAACTCCGTTTTATAGTCATCTTCTTCGTGTTCTGAGAGAATTTGCTGTTGATTTGGGACAACCTTGCACGAGTAAAATGTATTATTTAAACCGTATTGAAGATTGTGTTACCCCGGTACAAGCAAGAAGCGAGTTAGCTTGGAATCAAAGATTTGGTCCTGGTTTAATCTGGAAAGAGATTTGGACAGATGTCGCTCGAAGTTTCAATGATCCAGTGTTACGTGATTTTGATTGGCGCGCGGTACATCGGGTTTTGCCTGTCAATTTCAGAGTGCATAAATGGTATTCAAGAATATCCTCAGCATGTGCACGGTGTGGTGAAAGAATCGAAACATTGGAACACACGTTGATTCATTGTCCGATGGTAAAGGAGCTGTGGATGTTTATTCTGAAACTGTGCAATCAAATTGATGCATCGGTTATTGGTCTGTCAGAACGGAATATGTTGTTGGGTTGTTTCCCGCGAACAAGAACAAGAGACCTTTTGCGTTACTTAATTAGTGTTGGCAAATTTTCCGCGTGGAAAGAGCGCGTGTCATATCAGTTTAGGAAGGATGAGAAAATCAACAGTCTTGTATATTTTAGGAATTATGTGCGAACTCGATTAGAAACAGAACAGGGCATCATGGGCACGAAAAACTTTGAGTCAAAATGGTGTTTAAACAATGTCTTAGCATGTGTCACAAACGGTATAATTCGAACTTTGATCTAACAGTCAATATTTGTGTGACTTAATGTAAATAATTTAATGTAATCTAATGCATGTGAATTGTGTGTCAAATAATTTTGATTCCCCGTAATGATATACACTATGTGGGGTTTTTAATAAAAAATTACTCTTCCTAACGGTAGAGTTTGACGGGCTCTGAGGTACACGGCTGTTGTCGCTTTCTTGTCTCAGAGACGTGCAGCGTTTTCTAGTCGAGAATGAGATTTGGGGCTTGCGTTTTGTTGCAATTCATAATTTATAATTAAGAATTGTGGTAATACCACGGCCTTCATCGTTTTGACCGTTTTCATAGTTAAGAAATGTTGTAATGACTTACTTTGTATTGTCTTGAGCGTTTATTATCTAATTTCTTAATTACACAGTCAAAATTTAGTTCTTTACCGGGGTTTCCAAACGCATGCACGTGATAAAATGCTTGTAAATAATTGATCTATTTGCTCATGAATTATTAATGAGTTTGAGAAATATATAGCTTCTTTGGGAACTTTTAATGCAAAATAATAAAAAAAATTCTCGAACTCAAATTTTGTGAACCAGGGTGTGTGTCTTTTCCAACAAATTAAAAATGGTTCGCGCACAAAATTTAAAAGTTGTGATAATATTTTGAGTTAATAGATCGAAAATTTGTCGGGTTGTTAATTACTGTACAAAATTTCAGATTAAGCCCTTTAACTATTCACGCAAAGCTACGTTTTTCCTAAAAAATCATCTATTTGCATGCTTAATGCCTTTGCCTAATTTGCATATGTCAGCAATATGCAAATTAGGTAAAGGCATTAATTAAGCATGCGAAATTTGTCTGAAATTTTGTACATTAATTAAAAACCCAACACATTTTCCATATATATATATATATATATATATATATATATATATATATATATATATATATATATATATATATATATATATATATATATATATATATATATATATATATATATATATATATATATATACCGGGTGTCCCAAAAAAAAGTACTCCGGTTTGATTCGAAATAACTTCTAAACAAGTAAAGCTTTTAAAGAGAAATAACTTGCATCAAATAGAGGAAGGACTAACTTAGATTTTGATATATTACAGTTGTATTTCACTTAAAAATTCACGGAGATATTAATGTTTAAAATCGGGAGCATATTTCTGGATGTGTCTGAAATATGCCAAAAACAGCGTATCAAATATTAATCAAGATTTACCCAACTGAAACATGCACTATTACCTGTAAATAAATGATACTTGACAAATTGTTTATTATGAAACAAAGTATTATTATCTACAAAATACAAGCAAGATTTATTCGTCCGAAATCCGCGTGTGTTCCTAGCACGAATACGTTTCCTTATTTCATGAGACCACTGCATCGCGAAGGATCGTCATGGATCGTTCGTAGTTCTGAATTAGGGCACGCTGTCACAATGGAATTGTGAATTTTCTAACTTCACATTGAATGAATTTTCTAACTTCTGCAACGTTCTGAAATCTTGTTAAGAACACCCAAACTCTTTTGCCTTTCTTAATCTTGGCAAGTTCAGAATAAACTGAGAATGAAACACAATCAAACCATACAACTCCATAAGTAAAGACATAACAAGCAACTCCCCAGAGACATCCAACATTTTTGGAACAAAACGTAACAAAATAGTAGCTTTGATACTGTGATGTGTATTTGCAAAAAGCAATATTATTTCCTCCATTAAAGAACAATATTCATCCTGCTCTAACCGAGAAATAATCAACTTCGTTTTGAACCCATGAAAAACATAAAAAATAGGTTATTCAAGAAAAATTGAAGCGCCTGCCTTGCATGGTCTTTCATGTACCTTAAGTTTGCAAAGACCTATTAAATACTTACATAATTTCGAACGTCCATATTTCAGGAAACAATGAGTTAAGACTTACATGTAAGATGTCTAAATCTACGCCATATCCCTTACAAACCCCAACGACAATTCGCTGAAATACAAGTTACCCTGATATGTCATTAAGCAAACAAACGCTGGAGTTAAAATTTGATACGCCGATTTTCGCTAATTTTAGACACATCCCAAAATATGCTCCCGATTTTGAACATTAATATCTTCGTGAATTTTTAAGTAAAATGCAACTGTAATATATCAAAATCTAAGTTAGTCCTTCCTCTATTTAATGCAAGTTATTTCTGTTTGATAGCTTTACTTGTTTAGAAGTTATTATAAATCAAACCGGAGTACTTTTTTTTGGGACACCCGGTATATATATACCATGTCACTAATGAATTCAATAGAGTGGCTAATGATTTAATCTTTTTATTAAACCTTTTGTTTTTTTAACCCCACATTTTCCCTACGCTTCAAAGCCCTAGCCACTTGATGATTTAACACACTATGAGATATAGAGCAATGAAATACTCGAAGCTGATTGACTGAGTGGGTGCAGTCATTCTCTAACTTATATTTCGATATATAACATTTGAATGTCCGTGCAACATTTACTGAGCTATCGATGTTTTAAATCGAATGCATGAGCATATTTGACAATTCGCATAAAATTGCCTATCAAATATTATTTACCTGATATAGCTACAGTTTTATTGTGGCAAAAGAACGAATGAAAAACATAATTGTTGGACAAACATTTATTCATTCATTAGAAAAAGTATGCCCTCTTGTGCGTATACAATGACAATGCGTTGCACGGGAAACCATTAAAATTCAAAATCTTTGATCTTTAATTTGTTAATCGAGGCATATTCGAAAGCATATTCGAAGACCAACAATATAATATGAACTCCCAAAGGACGTCAAATATGCTTTCGAACGTTTTTAAACCGTTTCATGCTTATTTCGTTCCCAATTAGAACTAGGGATCCAAGGATAGTGTGAAGTTTCAAATTTAAAAAGACACTGCAAGAACTATATAGGGTCGCCGACAACCTAGAAAAGCTTGATGGCTTACACTACGAAATAAACAGTTACCAAAGGCATTTCATCTCATTATTTATTGCTTTTAATACGCTCGGCACAAGAGTAGCGTGACGTTTGAAACAAGCCTAACACATCAGAAACGTGCCTTGTGAAACTGATGCAATTCATCTATTTATTGTGTCACCAACAACCAATTTTTGCATATTCTAAATTTTCATTTGCATTTGCAGCTGTCGCTGAAAGCATCCCCACGAGGCTACTGCTATGCTAAATTTATCTAATAAACTATAATTGAAATAGCTGTATAAGATATGTTATGAATAATAAGCACTACGTCGTTACATCATTAAAAGACGCATTTTATCCTCATCCGTTCCGTATTTTATCCGCATATCCGTTCCGTGGATCCGCTCCATCCGCTTCCGCATTTTAACTTAATTGTGACATTTTTCACAATAACAAGTTTCATTGACCTTTGACTTTTCCCAGTGTGACGTGTGTCTATTTTCAGCTTTTCGCATGTGTTGAATATAAATATCACTTTAGATTTCAATAGTTTCACAGTTATAGCAGTGTTTAAAACATTTTTGACAAGCTTTGATACAGTTCTGTGTACAGAATACTACAGATTGATTCTCGTAAGATCTGGTAGAGTTATCGTTGCACTGAATACGAGTTTGCACCGTTGACAACGGCGTTGTGCTAGACACTAGACAGTAAACAAAGACAAGGACAAGGTCCGTGAATGTACACGTTGGCTACATGTACCTCCTTGCTTTTTTCTTCTATTGCATAAAGCTTGTTGGCGAGCCAATTAAGCGATTAGCGATAACACGTTGGCGATAACACCTAAACACGTTGGCTATCTCCTCGTCTTTCTTATTTATACAAGGAGCTCTGACTCAACTGATTCCTTTAGTCTCGTAAGTTTTTTTCTTCGTAAACGCCGTACAAACGTTTACCCGCTTCTGTTTAATAGTTGTTTATGCTTTATTGATCTGATACAAATCTGATGCAATTTTTCGCTCTTTGTACTGAGTATAGCCATCTATTCTGTGATGTAGCACCTTATACAGTCAATGAGAATGTATAATGAATACACGGTCTAAATAATATCGACGGTATTGCATAACATCAATTTATATATTGTATTACTATTATTGCGTAGAATCTCAAAGATTTTCTCAATATTCATGTCTGAAATGTTTATATACTTGAAAACAACACTGTCTCGCTTCTGCCTGCACGTACTGTACCTCTGTATAATGAGTATACCGTGAAAAAATAATATCGGCACTCAAGATTTTCGACTCAATATTTACGTCTGAAATGTTTATACACTTAACTGCACTGTCTAGGCGGTCTAGCTCCTTCCTAGCTCTGTATAATGAATATACCGTCTAAATATTATCGGCACTTATTAAATTGAACGCCCGTAATGCATAAGACCAATTTATATATTGTGTAGATTTTCAAAGATTTACTCAATATTCACGTCTGAAATCTTTATGTACTTGAAAACAACGCTGTCTCGCTTCTGCCTACGTACTGTACCTCTGTATAATGAGAATACCGTGAAAATAATATCGGCACTCAAATGAATGCCTAGAATCAAGATATTCGACTCAATATAGACTCTAGGCGGTCTAGCTCCTTCCTAGCTCTGTATAATGAATATACCGTCTAAATATTATCGGCACTTAATTGAACGCCCGTAATGCATAAGATCAATTTATATATTGCGTAGATTTTCAAAGATTTACTCAATATTCACGTCCGAAATCTTTATACATTTGAAAACAACACTGTCACCCCTTCCTAGCATATCGTCACGCCATCGTCATCTACGGCTTGACAGCGCATGCGCATTTGCGCTACTAAAGAAGAAATCGGGTGTTCCGGGGTAAAGATCCTTTACACAACATGAAAAGCGAATGTCCTAAAATTTACAAAAAATTACAATAACGAAAGCGATTTCTCTAAATTTTTGTGAACTTGGCAAAAGGATAACAGAATATGTAAATAAGTTAACTGAAATTGCCTAAATAACCTTCAAAGTACTGACTAAGTACAATAAATCACTACGAACATAAATCGTATACACCCCCCGGAAAGTTTACTCTATGACTGACTGACTGTTTGACTGATTCGTGTGAATTCGCCAGCCATCACAATAGTGTGAAGTGAAACTTCACACTAAAAACCATTTTAGTTTGGCTCTAGGGGCAAAATTATCAACAGGTTGCTGTTGTCCGTTATTCAGCGCAGTCGCAGTCTTGAACACGTTCATGTAGTGGCCAGGATTTCCTGGATCAGGGTAATGTGCTGGAACCTTAGAGAACCTCGCCCCCACCCAACGTATCTCCTGGCATCTGTTACAAATTTATTTTCATGCCTGTCAAAAATGCATGCAAAAGCGCCAGTATGCTTTAATTTCTTTAATTTTCATCCCGTTTGCCTTACAAATCGTACGCTTTTTTTGTTTTTGGAACTGCTAACTTTTTTGCGGGTAAATTACGTCACAAACCTGGCGCCAAAAAATTAAAAATAAGCTATAGGTGATTTCATGTATCCATTTAGAAGAGCAGACTAAGGATATATTAAAACTGAAATCGGTTTCGAAATACAACCATCAGGGACGTAGCGAAGCATCTGACGTTTGGGGGGGAGGGAGAGGGGGGGGGGGATGTCGGAGGATTTTACCAAAACTTGAATTGTAAAACAGTGTTATATAATCTATCTATCTAAATAGGAACTGCTAACTTTTTTGCGGGTAAATTACGTCACAAACCTGGCGCCAAAAAATTAAAAATAAGCTATAGGTGATTTCATGTATCCATTTAGAAGAGCAGACTAAGGATATATTAAAACTGAAATCGGTTTCGAAATACAACCATCAGGGACGTAGCGAAGCATCTGACGTTTGGGGGGGAGGGAGAGGGGGGGGGGGTGTCTGAGGATTTTACCAAAACTTGAATTGTAAAACAGTGTTATATAATCTATCTATCTAAATAGATAGATTATTTAATCAAATCACATTGCAGCTACTGTAGCTATATAAGCTGAATTGCGTGAGTTATTACAACCAATGAAAAATTACAAGTATTAAAAATAAGTATGTATACAAGTGAGATTAAAAAGTTAAAAGAGATATTAAAATACACATGCAAACTGCTAAAACGTTTTTTCTATAATGTATTATATATATTACTACTAGACTAAGAGATAAAGGATTTAAGAAATGTTGAATTCGAAAGCGGAATATCAAGCATTCTTCGGTTCCCCAAACTTATATTCAATGTGATCAATAGTGTCAGGAATTAAATAATTGAGCCTTTAGGTGGGATTGCATAAAATGTTCTTGAACAAACGTTCAGTAAACTCTTCTTGATGTTCATCAACCGGTACCAACTTAATTTTTGCCCGAGATGAGGCATCATGATCAGGGCCGTAGCGAGGGGTATTATGGGGGTTAACCCCCCAACTTTTTTGGAATTAACATATTCGGAAAATCGGATTGGCCATTCGGAAAATTACGGCAATAATAGTATAACACAATTTTAGTTGTTAAACAGAGAAAATATAATATAATTGTATTGTCAGTATAAACCGATTTACGAAATCATGGCATTTACATGGATAACATTTAACAAATCGTAAATCGTTTTCGGTTTATTACTTCTCAAGGCCGTAGCAACCGGGCGGCTGCAGCCCTCCCAATAATTTGCTAATGACCATTCATTTTGAAAATCATTCAGACCTTTATCATTTAAATAATATACCTTTAAAATACTGACAATTGATTAATTTTAAGCGGCTACATTATCCATGACAAACTGCAAAGAATCATACTACCCATACTTTCCTCCAATATATACTTAATTAAATACGCCTTCGCCCATTTAGTACTACTAAATTGTAAGTAAATTGTAAATTTCGACATACTGAAACGCTGTTTTTTGACCATCAGAATTCTGTCAAAACTTCCCCCAAAGTCCAGGAAATGGCATTTCAGAGACTCTAAATTTAAAAATTTCCTCGGGTCTTCGGCCCACGTTCTCAGCCCCCCTAACTTCCCCTCTCCTCAATCAAAAAGACCTTCCTATGGCACTACATGCTTCTGTAATATATCTGTGCGTAAAATATCGTATTTTTGTTTGTGAATTGCGTCTTCATTTCCCGGATAGCAAACACCTTCCTGGCTTCGTATGCCATGAAATTCGGAAATTTTTTTCGTCATTCGGAAATTTTTGGCCTACAAAACTATACATGCTTAATAAGTTCTTTGTATGTTTGCATGGTGATAAAATATAATAGGTTTTGTTTGTGGAAACACCACGTAAATTTATTACTGCACATTTGCAGTAATAAATTTACGTGTGTTTCCACAAACAAAACCTATTATACATGCTTAGCTACGGCCCTGATCATGTTACGGGATGCCTAGGAATACACAACTCAAGGCTCTCTTCTGCACTCGCTCCAATTCATCACGGAGATATTTAAAAAAAAACGGTCGAAAATACAAAATAACAACATTTGGCGTATCCGGCGATGTCCGCACTCCCCGTGTCCGAGCGTTTATGAATAAATTTAAACTAGATTAACTAAAACATGTCAACAGCAAATGTCCAACAGCCAACATATTGTACTCCGTATAAATGACTTCTATTTCTTTTCTACTTTCTTCCAAACCAAGGCCTCGAGGTTTGCGCAAGGCTGTTCCACCACGACTGTGACAATAAAAGCGACGGCGTAAGATAATACCAATGCAGTAAGATAACTTGTGACCTAGGGTACAAAATAGATCGATAATGGTTATTCACATGGTTATATATTAGAACAGCAAACAACACATAATAGAATGTATAATGAATCAGTCACTTATTTGGTTACTATATTTAAATCTGAAAAAATCAAGTATTCTCGGAAAAAGCGTCCACCTAAATGCCATATTCTCGCGCGCTCGTGTGTGTCCCAAGACTGTATACTTACACCTGCATGCAGGTGACGTAACAGGTCATGCATGTCCCGTGCAAAGCGATCGGAAGGGAAAACAACCTATGCCCTTAAGCTTTCTACACGTTAACTAATACTTGGTTTCGGTAAGCATTATCAGTACGATCAAGAAAATTAAACAACATCTCTTCGTTCCACTATTTGCTTTCAAGTAAGGTTATACTGCGTCTGCATATGACGTAGCCTACGAGCAGATGGTGAATATAATTAATATTATTTTTTCATTCTAATACAGCGAATTAAATGATCAGTGTTTGTGACTCGTCTTTTATAAATCACTTACAGGTATATAATATGTATGAAAAAGAACAACGCCCACCCCGCCTACCTCCATTTGATGCTAATTACATTTACAATTAGAACTTTTGTCCAATGCTTGTGGGTTTGTCTTCAGTTACAACCCAATACTTTACTGCATACAATGGCATTACAACGCCAACAGATTATTGGTTACAACGTGCGCAACGGATGAAAGACTGCGCCGAAGACTGCGCCGATCACGCACATGAGCCCGCGAGAACTACGGACGCCCATGCATGTGATTGCCCACTGATTGTATTTACATTAAATAATCTGAGTCTATGGGCCTGAAGTTGACTATTGGGAACACTTCAACCCCACAAATACACAGCATGTGTATTCTCCATAGACAAAGAACCCAACTCCCGCCACAGCTGGTGCATCATGTTCAAGAATTTACTTCATCCATCTCTACGAATACTGCATGGAATGTTAACTTCATTTTCCAAGACATATGATAGGTGGAAGCCAATAGAAGCAACACTGACATATAGCCACATTGGAAAATATATAATTTGGTAAGATCTAGAGCGAAAGTCAATTAATTTTGATGTTCAGTTTTGAAAGAATATATGAGCAATATTTCTTCATCACGGAACGCTTTAAATATACACGAGGATAAAACCTGAATGTTTTTATTAAATAACCGAGGCATTGCATTTGTATTTCATTTTTATATTCTGAAAATGAATATAATAACGAGTTTACGAGTCTACCGATTCATTCAGAGCTCTTTAGTAACTCCGCAAAAATTATTTCCTTTTTATTTCGATGAAGTTTCATCATTACAGAATTAAAACGAGAAAAATAACCGTAAAGGAGTTCTTTTGGTGGCTAGCATGAGCGGCTTCAAACATGGTGACCATGCAAGTTCTCGTTCCAATCATTTTCAAGTAGTTAGGGAGCTTTAGATTCGACTACGATTACGGCTAGGCCGAGATTTT